ATAAGTAATTTTGAAAGAATGGCACTGGTAAGGATATGCCAGGGGGTCACAAGACAAAAATCTCGTGGCCCCTTCCCCTCAGTTCACTACCCTGTGACTCAGAGGCTGAGAAACTAGAGATATTTTCATTTATTGAAACTTTGAAATATTGATAAAGTAAGCAATTGAAAAAAAATGGGGTGGGGGGGTCACAAAATGTGTGGCATATTTAAATGTTTAACATTTTAAAATTAATACCGTTAACACAAAACATGTGATTGCATGTATAATTTCATTTTATACATAACAAAAAAATGTAAAAGGCCATGGATGAATGCTCCTCATAGGTCTTACCATCCCTCCAACTTCCCTTAGTTATAAAACCACAGCCTTCTCTCTTCCCTGTTGTCAGTCTTAGACTAAAACAAAGACTGGGGGAACCTCAGAGAGTTCCAGAAGTTTGAACACGAGTGGGAAGGAAGCCCATGCTGGGTATGTGGCCACTGAGACAGCAGGCGCCGCCTTTCGCCGCCTTTCGAGCTGGCCCTCGCTCCCACCCTCACCACCTCTGCTTTCCAAGTCCTGGCTCACTACCTTGCGAGCCGCCCTCCTTTGGGAGAGTCCGCCCGCCCTGGGTTCCCGACTCTCCATCCCTGAGCCCCTCCAGGTGACCCTGGCGCAGCCCCCAGGAGGACGCACGCCTCCCAGCGCTCCCAGGGCTCTCCCGGGCTCGCAATTCCACACGCGGCGGCGCGCTGGAGAACAAACCACACGGGCCGCGCTGTGCGCTCGCGGGAGCGAGCTGTTCCCAGCGTCACTTTGACATTTGAGTCTAATCAGGGAACTCTTGCCAGCCCGTCCGCCAGCCCGCGCCTCGGAGCAGCCCAGAGGCCGGCGATGGCGCATGGGCAAGGGCGGTCTGGAAAGCCCGGCCCGAGGGCGACCCGGGGACCCAGGCTTCCCTTTCGGAGCCGGGCCGCACGGGCAGTGCAGGCCTCGCGGGGGCTGGGCCTGAGCGGCGCCGGGACATGCGGACCCAGAGCGCGGGAAACCGGGCGGCGCGCGAGGGCCCGCGGGGAGGCGGGGGGTGCAGCGACCCCCGGGCTCCGGCGGAAACCCAGCCGGGCCAGCCGAGCCCCCGCTTCCTAGTGAGAGCGAAACTGAATGGGGCTGCCCATCCCGCAGGGCCCGCCAACCCAGAAGGCCGGCGGCCCCTTTCCACGGCCCAAGGCAAGGATGGGGGTGGGGGTGGGGAGGGAGTGGCTGGGAGGCGGAGGCCCTGTCTTGAAGGTTCGTCCGGGGACCTTGAAAAGCAGGGGTCCCCAATCCCTTCAGGCGCTCGGGCGCGCGCTCTCGGGTGAGGTTTTGGAATCGAATGAGTTTGGATGGAAAGCACGTCCTTTCCCGTGTCGCGTCCCACGGAGGGTCGGCCTGGCCACGCTCCCCCGTCGTCACTTGGAAGCGAGCATCAAGTGGCAGTATTGTGTAGTTGTGTCGAAGTGAATAACTGCATGGTGTTGGGCGAGTTGAGGGAGCACCCTATTCAGAGTCTGCGGTCTAGTTACGAGCACTGGAGGCCACAACCCCCCGCGGGCTGGGGGAGCTGCTGCCCGCTCCGACCTGGCGCAGGCGGCTCCCATCCGAGACCCACTCCGGGTAGTCGGGCAGCGGCGGAGGGAAGAACGTGAGGGTTGGCCGCCCAGCCCCGCGCCCGTGCCCCCAGAGGCGTCCCCGAGACCCCAAAGCCCGGAACCCGAGGCCGCGGCCGAAGAGCCGTGAGCCAGGCCCAGGGTCGGGGCCCCGAACCGTCCGCTTCCGACTTATTTCCATGTAGTTAGGGTAGGAGCGGCCAGTTGGTGAAGGATTGATTGCTTAATGAGAGAGAAGCTACAGCTTTCACCATCGCTGATGGTTAAAGCATGACACTGTGCTATCTCGGTGGACTGGTATGGTTATTCACTGCAACGTCCAGACCCTGTTGGTGTGTATAGTATTTCCTTATAAGCAGCACTCGTCACTTTAAAACCAGGTTTCAGGTGCCCCTCTTGCTAATCCCTTTCACCATTAGTCCGCTTAAATCCTCTTTTTTTATCCCCTTCCTCCGTTTTTCCGGCCTCCCTCCCTCCATTCCTTCCTCCCTCTCTCCCTCCCTCCCTTCTTTCCTCTACCTGAACCTTCGTGCTGAATGCCACTCACGACATCTGCAGCCTAGGAGTGGTGGGGTGCGCCCCCCACATGTCCCAGGGCAGCTTGCATTTGTGGAATTGGAGAGCTCAGGTTTGGCCCCAAAGCACTTTTGTTAGTGACGTTTCCAATTCAGAGACCATAAATCGGTTCACACGGATTCCCCAACCCCTCAGAAAGCTGTTTCTTTAACCTGGGATCATTTTGGTAGTGTGTTTCTGCTCCAGCGAAAAAGGAGCTGACCAGTCAACTTAGTTTCTGGATACAGAAATTTTTTTTATAAGCAGTTTTCCAGTTGCAGAGAACTACTTCTTAATTTCCTTGCCTACCAAGGCAGCTTGTCACTTTGGCCTTTCACCATCACACATTACACATTTTTTAAAGGCTCATGTCTTCCCCCATGTCAGAATGTCACTGCATTTCGGGTGTTGAAACAACTTTTGGGGACAAAACTCTTCCTGATCCTTCACAAGAGAGTAAGACCTACTTCCTAATGTCTGGTATTCAATTGATGTGTAAGGGTTACCCACCATTAGTCACCTTAGGCTACTCACTGATGCCTTGCTATCTTACAGACTTAGATTCAGCCCCAGACCTCTCCCTCCATGGAGAGAGAATAACAGTTCATATTCTTTCAGTTCATCATAAAAAGGGAAATAGCTTTTAATCAGGTTGGGGCATCCTTCATAAATTTTGCTATTCAGAAAACAGAGAATCTGATAAGGGAAGCAGAAAGTGATCATCCCATTATTTCAGTGGATTGCTTTTTAGTGCAAAGTTAAGAAACAACATTTTACATTTGCCCTCTCCCACTCCACCTTTAGTTGGGAGGAAAGTGTTTCTACTATTGAGTTTCAGTTTTGCATAATGCCCCCCACCTTTGTAACAATGCCAAAAGTAATAAATACACACTCTTTAGCCTGGCCTATTAAAGGTCATTCTTGATTTACACTCTTCACTTCCCCCTTCCCCAACACACTCACTCTTATAAAAGCACATTTTTCTTGATCCAGATAGTGTTGGGATGTGCGTAACTTTTTTAGTATTTCCCTGACTTTTCATTCTTTCTGAACTGCTCTTCAGGTGTTCACCCTGTTTTGTTGTTTGTGTTTGGTTTTCAGGTTTCATAGGAAAGGCTTTAATCGGTTTCTAAGTAATAGTTTCCAAGATGCCCTTCTTAGATGACGTCTAGACCAGTTGTAAACCAGTAACATTATTGCTGCCAAAAGGGAAATAGAAGCTAAGGTCACTTTTGTCAAGGGATTCATTTGAGCATTTATCTTTCTTTTATTTGGGATGCTTTATGGGAAGAAAATGGGAACTAAATGGGGCAGGGGACAGAGACAGAGTACCAATGAAAACTTGTTTTTAAAATTAAAGCCATTTTCCCAGACTTATTGTCTTGCCACAAGTGAAAACACATAAAGAAGAAGTCATGAAAGTGGATTCTTGTCCCTCTGGGTTATTGGAGGCCTGGAGAGCCCTGGCATTACTTCCTATAGAAAGGTAGATGAAACCTACTCATCTCCCCCTGCCCTCCCCTTGCAGCACCCTCATTACCCAAGGGCTCAGGACTTTCTCAACACTGATACCAACCTCAGCGGGGTCTAGGTGGCAGGGCTTCCCTGGCGAAGAGAAACAGCTTCTCTCTATAGAACTGAAGAGGAAGCTGGGTGACTGTAGAACAAGCCTGAGGGGGTGGAGCGCCGTAACTGGAGGGCTGTGGCCACCGGTGCCCTGGCAGGATAGCTATTAACGAGTCAAAGCTCACTAACAGTGAAAGAAAGAGAGCCAAGAGTAGGACCCTTTGGGTGCTAGAGGCTAACCTTTAGCTTGTTCCACTCCTTCCCCTGGGCTCCCATCCTAGGTTTCCTGGGATTGCAGACCTCACCAGAGGAGAAGGTGAGGATGATAAGGAAACATGCCTAGTCCCTGTCCAACATGCGTGCCTGGGTGGGAACTTGCAGACACCAGGAGACACACCTCAAGTCCTCAGTGATGTGTGTGTCTGACTCATGCAGTTGTGCATGGTCAACAACGGAGGGGGGAGAAAAGCCTCACTCCTTTTCTTAACTCGCACTCTGTGTAGTTGTTTCTCTTCTCCCCCAACCCTCCGCCTTACCCCATCAGGACCAAATAGAATTGCAACTCCTTTGCCTTTGCCTGCACTGAGCCTAAAAATTCAGGATTTGATAAGGTTACTGCACCGTTGATACAATTGCAGATTTTCAAAAACCTCCTCAAAGAGACAGATGTTTGGGCTGATTAAGAATTGAGGAGGAAACCTGCAGCTGCACCAAGGAATAATCTATTGGACAAAAATTAAAATATTTTAATAAAAAATATGAAGAGATCAGCCCGACCTTGCAAGGTCTTCTGCTTTAAAAAAAAAATCTTTATCAAACCCCTATTCTATGGCTTCAATAAACAGAGCCCATTACCTCACGGCATCTTTTGTTGGCCCCATGCAAGAGAGAACAAAATGGTTATTCAGGGGAACGCTTTCGATTTTTATTGTGGGTAGCCTGCACAAAGAGCCGTGTTATTGTATTTAAAAGAACCATCTGTAGCAGAAACAATGGCATCAAATTATCTTTGAATACCCACTGAAAAAACATAAAGCTTTTTTTTTTTATTCTTCTTCTGTACGGTGGGGGGATAGAGCAGTGTTAGGATAACTGACTTTTTTGTTGTTCTCTGGGTGCATTCTTCTCGCTCCCCCTCTCTCTCCCCCTCACCCTCTCACTCCTCTCTCTCTCTCTCTCCCTCTCCCTCTCTCTCTTTTAAAAAATCAGCCATTTGGGGTTTTAAGCCATAAACGATTTTTCTTGTTGCAGGGGATTGCAGTGGCAAAGCTAGGCTAGGTCTTGGAGGCTGGTGTATGGCGAAGCGGGTGAAGACAGGAGGCTGATGGAGAGACTGGGGGGAAGAAAAGCCGAAATGGATTCACGGTGCCTTGGATGGAGGACGAGAGGGGAATTGCAAGCTCCTTCAACTGTTCTGTCCGGTGAGAAGTGATCAAGCTTGGGCTGACAAGAGGCTCAGGGAGCCCTCACGTTCTTTCGCTTTTTTACCTGCCAATCAAACTGCTACAAGACAACACCCTGATCTGGCATGGACATGTAAGTAGCTTGCAACCCAACTTTGACATTCACTGCTAGCTCACTCCTCTCCGCCCACCCCCCAACTCACTTTCTTCCCCTCTCATTCTTTTTTTTTTTCTTTTGACCTTTAAGAGGTCTGGAAATACACCCTGTGTGGCAGGTATTTAACAGACAGATTTAAGCCTGAAAAACATTAACTTTTGGGATTAAATGCTAATTTGTATTTCTTTAACAAATGAAGAAATGAAATAACATTATTTTATTCTCTTCTGAGCAGTTTTCTGCTGGACATAATCAGTTGCCTTGCAAGGGTGTGTGTGTTTCTTTTCTTTTTTTTTTTTCCTGTGAAAATGAAGAAATCTGTGAGCCCCCAAGAGAGAAATGCAGAAATGAAAAATTCAGGCTTCCATTTTAAGAATGTTAAATTCTAGCGTTTCATTCCTACAAAGAACCTCTCCAGACCAAGGTTACATAGAATGGAAAGAGTGGTTTAAGCCAAAAGGTTCATGTCATTAAGGGGTTGCTAGTATTTCATCTGGGTCTCTTATTTTGGTGGTGGTTGAAGGGGTGGGGAAAAAAAAGAGAAGGAAGGGGACATGGCGACACCTCGTTCTTTATGAGAGATTGACATTGACATCTAGAGATGCAAGAGGGCAGCTGATAAGCAGGAAATATTACCTGAGAGAAGGAATTACAGAGCATGGAGTAGCTGGAGGCTAGGAGGGCTTCTGTGGGAAGTTGTGCGAGGGGTGGTAGGGGCTTGCTCTCTGGTGCCCTCTAATGGTAATTTGAACCAATGTTTTACTTTTCTTAATTCAGTACTGGGAAAAGCAGCTGGTTTTTTGTTGTTGCTGTTGGTTTTTTCCTCCTCACACTTAGAAACTGGAGACGATTAGTGGAGTAAATTGATTATTTCCATCCCAGAAACGTACATATATGCCTTAAAATTATCATTGTTTTCTCCTCAAACATCCCCTCCTCTCCAAATTTTGTTAGACTAATAAAGGAGGAGAGGCTAATGGCAAATTGATTAATGGTGCGTGGCCCGTTTAGTAATTCGGGGAAAGGGATTCCTTTGCTACCTGAATATCACTCTGGCTCTTCTAATACACTCGGAGAGGTGTAGGGGGGTGGAGGGTGGAAGGATGATTTGGAAATTGCAGATTCTGACACGGGCTCATTATAATACAATTTAAAGGGGGCTCTTAGGAACCTCAGTTATTGCGACATGTGGTGGTCAGGGGGCTTTCCTTCCCGCCTCCTTTTTCTTTCTTTCTTTTTTTTTTCCTTTCTTTTTTTTTTAATTTGGTAGATAAAGGTTAATCTTGGGCTGAATGATAGAGCTATGATTGACAAGAGAAAAGGTGTTGAGGGCAGGTCGCGCTGTCTTATTTACAGCCCACTGCTTGCTGTAGAGTCTTTGTTAGGACTGGAAAGCTAATTTAGTGCTGATCAAAAGCACCACAGAGTTAAAGGACTGGTAATGACTGCTAATTTCATTTCAGCCTCATGCATCCCCAACTGCTGTAATTAAAGACACGCTATTTAAATACAGGTGAAGGTTTTGGGGTTTTTTTTAAGTTGGGGTGGGGGTGGGTGGATTACAATTTTATTTAGATTTCATCTTATACATGGGTGTAATGTAGTTCAACATCAGGGTTTTTTTTAAAGAGCCGATTCTTGTCATTTATACCTGGCTGTGCAGAATCGGCAGTGCGAAATGTGTCAGTCACATAAAAGCCCTGTTTAAAGAAAGAGGGGAAAAAAGGATGCAGAGGAGTAACTGTTTAGGGGGGGATTTAAATATTTGGGTCTTTTTTTCCCCCTTCAAATTAACTGAAGGGCTTCGAAATAGCTAAAGTATTTGAAACTTGGGGCAGGGTTAACAGGCCAAAGGGATCAGTGTCAGCTTTTAAGACTTCTAAAAAGATCATGTGAACAGATGGAAAAATATATTTTTAATTAAATAATTTCCCCCACACTGTAGCTGCAGAGTTGGCTCAGAAACCGTGTAATTCCTCAACCGATAGGAGTTTCTTTATGAGAACATCAAAGGATAGAAAGCTCTACATTTTCGTAGTTGGTTAAAATTGATAACCCCCACCCCCCCCCACACACACACACACACACACACAAAAAAAAAAAAGAATTTAGCCTTTAATCTCTTTTTATCCACGAAGACTAAAGCTCTGTACTCGACCCCGCGAACGGCTCTCGCCTTCCGGGGCTGGAACCCGGCTCAGATGTGAAGCGGCACCGAGCCGCTGCGCAGGTTCGTGCCCAGCGCCCCCTGTTGGACACAGTAGGAGCAGCGCAGCGCCAGTCCTGGAAATCGCTAGACCCTTGCTCTGGGGTTAGGTAAAACTCTTTATTACTCTCCAAAAACGAGGTGAGGCGAGGAAACAAATTTTTATATCCTTGAAAGATAATATAATTTTAATTCAATAAAAAATAAAAAGAAGATAATACAATTTTCATTCAATAAAAAGTAAAGACTAAACTATTTCTCCTCCTCCTCACATCCCAGCCACCCCCTTGTCCCCGTTTGGATTTGGGACTCTCATTAAAGATTCTTCGACAGTAAAACAGGTAGAGAAGAATGATTTAAAAATCAAAGAGTGTTTTCTTCTGTGGCGGTGGGTAACCAAGCAAAAGTTGCTTCTCCCGTTCTGTCCAAATTTCAAAAAATAACACGGAAGATGCTGCTGCTTGCTGTTTTGGCGTTGTCAGAAGCATCTTGAATGCCTTCAGAGGTCCTTCCAGTCTCTGAGTAAACGAAATGCTGGCTCCTTTTTATTTGTTAATTTTCAGAATGTAATTAAAAAGCTAATCTGTTCTGTGAATGTTTCCCATCCCCCAAACTAATTTTATCAAACTTTTCTTACACCCTCCCCTCCAACAGTTAAATTCCAGATATTATTATTTAAGAAACAGGTTCCTGACACCTTTCTTCTTTTATCTCAGTCTTAGGATTTCAGGGAAAGTATGCCAGTGATAAAGAGTGTTTTCTTTTGAAACTTAGCATTTTCATGGACCAGGGATCCAAATTATCCTAAGGGAAAAAGAAGTATTTTTACACTTATCAAAACTACCTGTCTATGTAAGAAAGGGCTTTGACTTTTTCTTTGGTCATCAGGTAAGGGCATTTTTCAGAAAGATAAACTATAAAAATGACACCCTCTGAATTTAAAAATATGGGAAAATATAGGCTTACTTAGATGTTTAAAATCAAATTGAGACAATTCGTGCGCTAAATGAACATACATGATCTCAACACAGTGTTTTATGATTTTGACCTTCAGGGATTTTAACTTTTAGATAAAAACCTTAAGAAGTCTCGGGCTTGCTTTTTTGTTGTTTCCCGATTGAAGGAAACCAGCTGAATGTTCATAACAGAATTACTTTTTAAGGCATTTAATACTGTGGCTCTGCTTGTTTCTGTGGATCTTATGCTTCCCACCTCCCCAAATCAGGGGATCCAAGATTGTGTTTTCAGGGGGGGGATTGCTGAAAACGATTTGGTGCGATGAGAGATGACTTCTCCATCTGATTCCAGAATCAAATCTCGGCTTATGTGTCTCAATAAATTAGTTCGGATACAGTGGCAGGAAAAGAATCAAGGCTTTCGATCAGTTTTTACCCGGAATTCTCTCGAAATCACGGGCAAGCGGAATTCCCTGCTACAGACACCCTCACCCTTTGCTTTACCAAAAGACTAGCCCCATTACAGAAATATTAAGTCCTGGCCAGCTTTGGAACCAGCGCCAACCCCGTAAGGTAGCAAACGGTGTGCTGACAGCCGCGATCCCAGGCTGCCCGCGGCGTGGGGAGGCCAAAGCCAGCAGAATCTTGGAAGCGACCCACGAAATGGGACAAAATGCCTGCTGTTCGGAAGGGAAGTCGAATTTGCAACAGCAGAGGCCGGGAAATTTCAACCCGTTCCGCCCCCTGGGGTTCTAACTTGTAGGGAGAAGGCAGGAGGGGGAGCCGCACCTGGCTGTGAGTCCCCAACTTCCCGAAGCCCAAGGAGAAAGCTCAACCCCTAGTTTAGGAAGCAGAACTAAACAAGTGGGTGGCCTAGGCCTGGGAATGCCACCCAGCTCTCCCTGCGCAGTGTCATTTCTGTGGCATCAAGCAGCCTCAGCCTCTACCGGAATCCCACACCTCACAGCGGCAAGGAGCAAGGCGGCCCTTCCATCTTTGGGGATTGGGGAGGGGGCAGCGAGTGACTGAGTCCTGAGCAGCCGGCAAAGCCGCGGCTGGTAACTGGCCGCGCTTCCCCGCAGCAGCAAAGGGCCTTTTAGGGGCGGGGCGGGCAGTTTTGGTCTCCTGTCCCAGCGTCCAGGCCTGAGCCCGCGCCTGCTGGCTGAGCGCCCTGTTTTGTAAGTAGTCAATCTTGCCCAATTCTGAGGGCGATCCAGGAGGATGGGCCAGCCTAGCCTGGGCCCAAGAAGTTGGTGCCAAGCCCTTCAGCCCCCTCTCCTGTCCATCACACCTTTCCTGATGAACCCAAGCCTCACTCTGGAAAAAAAATAAATAAATAACTATATGTGGCTTGGCGTTTGGTAGCTATTTGGGGGTAAAGAAAATGACTGATTCTTAAGACCGAGATTCAAGGATGAGCCCTCATTTACTAAGTTTGCTCTTTTGCTTTGTTTTTAAACTTTGAAGATACTTGAGTTCCCTTGATCCAACTCTGAGACAAATGAAGGTGCCAGGGAGAAAGCCCAGCTAGGCCTGAAGGAGCTAAGGTATAGACAGATATTCATCTCTCCACCACTCAGCAAGCAGATAAACCGCTGCCAGGCTGTGGGTCCTAATCCAGGGCCCAGCTGCTTCGTGGGTTGCTGAAGGATGTTGAAACCACAAGTACAACTTGACACCATTGAGCCCACGGTGCTTGTCAATAATCTGTGAATTAGGTGCAGAGATTGTCACTGTAGCTCATAACAGTTTCTGAAGGACTCATTACAGCCTATCATGTACAATGATCTTCAAATTAGGGTGGGGGGGGGCAG